TGCTGCAAACACATTTTGGATTCCCCTTGCTTTCATTCCCAGTGACACCAGTGATCAGGACAGGTAGAGAATGTGATTCTCCCTAACAGGGACACAGACAGCAATAAGAACCTGACCGTTGTTCTAACCCCCTCACCACTCTATCCAAATTGAAAAAAAAAATTGCCTTTAGTTATACTTCAAAGGTTCAGTGAACTTTAAAGCACAGTGTACTTATTTTTTTGCCCCTGTGCCCTACCTAACCAATTCCACCCCCCCCCCAACCCACAGATGTATACTTGCCAAGATCCAATGACCAGGGTCTCCAGTGTTTGTCGACATCACATGGCACAAGTCTTCCTCTCCTGGCCGCACCTGCACACTACAGCCCCATAGACATCAATAAAACTGTCTTCCAACCAGGAGACAGAGGTAGAAAAGCCCCATAGGCGTCTATGGGGCTGTAATGAGCAAACACAATCAGGAGACATGTGGTGTGGGATGTCAACAAACATCAGAGCCCCCAGGCATCGGATCTGCGAGCTACATCCTGTAACAACATCCCGATCTGTTAGGTCAGGGCACAGGGGCAAAAATAAATTAGTGCACTTTCCCTGAAACACCTCAGGCCCCATGCCTGTAACTGTCAGGCTTGCTATGCCTCATGGGACTTGTAGTTTCCCAACAGCTTGAGGGACAGATTTGCCCACCCCTGGGCTAAAGGGTGAATTAAGAGGCTAGCATCCCTGCCAATCACCTGCCTGTTGGGCAAAAGAGCCTCAATATTGACCAGAATATAAGCGGTGGGCAAAGATGCCCATAGACACTGGAGCAGTGGTGGCGAACCTTGGCACTCCAGCTGTTTTGGAACTACAAGTCCCATGAGGCATTGCAAGGCTCCGACAGCCACAGACATAACTCCCAGAGGCAGATGCACGTTGGGATTTGTAGTTTTGGAACAGCTGGAGTGCCAAGGTTTGCCACCACTGCACTAGAGCGTCATAAGTCATGCCGAATTAGGCGGCAAGCCTAAACAAAGGTCTGGAAGGTGCTGTGGGCAGACACCTTCCAACAATGGCGATTTAGGGGAAAATCAGAAGTGCAACCTGTCCTAGAACTAGATCCTCTGAGCTGCATTGGCTTCTGGTATCTGCAGGTACCCCATAGCCATTAGGGGATTGGGGACAATTGGGTGAGTCATCTGAGGTCTATGGATTCCTACTGTTATTTGACATACTCACCACCACC